ATGACCTGACAAATGATAAAGTGTAATAATGACTATAAAGTGACCTGCGTGATTTTGGAGGCATTTTTTCACATGGCCCGGTCAACAAGCTAAATCATCTGCTCGGATGGGGATAGGTGGAGCTATTTGGACAACAAAGTTTAATAATCTGCTCAGATAGCAATATATTCATTTGCTCGGTCCGCAATAACAAACAAGTTGCTCGGGTACTCATTTAGCTCACCTGCTCGGACTATGTGGCGGTCCAGCGGGCTTGGTTATATCAGGTTGTATCATGTGCTCGGGTTGAGGGTTATTTAATCTTTCCGGTCAAATGTAACCAACAAACTGCTCGGTCAGGGGGTTTAAAATAACCTGCTCGATGTGCATTCGAGATCCAATTATGAGGGGATCTCTATTTTTGGAATAATTATCAAACAAGTCTATCTACGGTAAAAACGACATAGCTCGTTTGATAATGGGGGGACTAGATGATATAGCACATGAGAGCATTTAGGTAGACCGACAGAAACCGGCTCGGTTTATCAGCCGGATGCAATGCTTGCGGGCCGAGCAGATGCAATGATACGGTTACGTATGGGCTCGGCCCAATACCAGTTCGGTTAGGTGCATCGGCCTAGCAGATGTAATCATTCAGTAATGTGCGGATGTGGCCCAAATGCTTGTGGGCATATAAAAGGGGCTCTAGGAGGGCCGAGAATGGGACAGGTGTGACATTTATTCAATTGATCCCTAAGGGACACGTGTAGGGTGGTGATCATATAAGAGATAGGTGATCTGACGGTCAAGAAGTAAGGCGTGCATATGAAGTTAGGGAGTTACATATAAATAGATAATCTGGTATGACGGTAAGGGAGATGAGTTTTTACTTCACAAATCCCTAATATACAAACTGAGTCTTTCTCGATACCCTACTAACTTGAGCGTCGGAGGTTTACCGCCGGGATCACTCCCGGCGTCTTTGCAGGTCTGTGGAGGGCTCAAGTGGGTGGAGATCAAGGAGGGCCGGTCCAGTGTGCAATAGCACATCAGACATTCTATTCTATGTTCTAAGTGTGCTGGTGTCTCATTAAACGGGTGAACATAATGACAACTTTTTTTCCCAATAAAAGCAAACAATTACTATGATCCTTTTAATATCATCCACAAATACAGATTCTAACTGCTAATTCAGATTTGTAAACTAATTTATTTTAAACACAATAAAAAATAGCTCTCCAAATAATATTTCTCACCACACACAAATTTGGGGAATGGTGATATTATTGCATTGGCTTAAATGAACAATATTGAGAACGGGACTTCTTTTCACAATTAGCGGAAACATAAAAATACTTTTTTTCAGTATCTTTCATAATTATTGTGATTCCTATTATAAAATGTGGGGAGATGCTACGGTCCCGTTACGGTATCATCTCGTCGGTTGTTTTAACCGTTAGATCTTCGTGTAGTTAGATAAGATCGATGATCCAACGGTTAAAACATCCGACGGGATAGTACCGTAACAGGATGGTAGCATTTCCCTAAAATGTGTAACTTGAAAATTTCAACAATTAAACATTTTTTAAGGGAACTCTATGGTACTGTACCAGTTTTGCTATGGAGCCATCGGATGGTTCGGCTTATGGAGTCATCCACAATTATTCACAAATAGTGTATTGACACATGTCCTACAATAAATGCACTTTGGACAAGTGTCAATACACTAAGTCATGGATGGCTCCATAAGAAAACCATCCGATGGTTCCATAGAATTTTTGGGTACTGATAATCATGATTAATGGGTTATAGGTAATTAGTGAATAGTGTGTGACCCTTATTACCTTATAAATATATAATATGCAGTGTGATGGAGAAGAACTGTTAATTCACATCAGATTCCCTCACTCAATACTTCACAATAAATTTTTAACTTACCACAATATTTTATTACGAATTATCTATGTTTCATGCATACATTTTTTCATTGCGCAATTTTTAAGAAAAATTGTACACATAATAATTATGGACAGACTTGTAAAGGAGCCGAGCCACGTTTGAATTTCTGATACTCAACTTCGGGCTGAAACTCTAATTTATAGAATAGATTTAAGTGAACTCGACTTATCAACTATTTCGTTGATAAACAGACTCGAGCTCGACAATAAATTAACAAGCCGTGCTCGAAGCATTACAAATAGAACCAAAATAAGTTGTTTTTTTTTTTATACAAACCGTCAAATAAGTTGATTCAATTTCAAACATCAACCATAAGGTGGCGATACTCTACATAAATTATTCGATTTGGACTTATTGAATCAATTTTATAAAACATTTAACTTAAAATTCAACTCAATTTTATTCAATTAACTCTCTCAAATATATCAATAGAATTAAATAATATCAATTAATTCTTCTCACATACCATGTCAATCTTAATTTTATACTCATTCATGCTCATATTTTTAATTACTCATGTTGATATGCGAAATTGTATCAACGTCACTGTATTTGTATATATCGAATCATTGTATATAAAATTGCGTTCCCAAAGAAGATGAACACTCTTTTTGTTTTTTGGTTCCTCAGACGAGGGAAAAGTCGAGAAAAAGGGGCCGCCCTCCTTTCCTTGAGCCTATATATATGGCCTATTTAGGCCCTTACATCCGTTGGACTTTTACATTTATTGGGCTTTTACAATACTTTATCACATAATATAATAATACACATGTAATGAATCAAATGTGATCGCGTAGGGCCGATAATTATGATGCTCAACGGCTTCGATTGATATTTGTCTTGTCACGCAATTATCGTGTCTGTCGGGGCGGTTTCTTTATGATATCAGAGTCGGGCTGGTGACATTGAATTCTGCTCGGCCCGAATGTAGACAATCTTGACTTATAGACACTCGACTAATATTAATAAATCAACTCAAAAAGCCTACTATTTTATATTTATTCAATTACATATCCACGTGTAACATTTCTATTAATCGAGGCCAAACTGATAATAAACGCGACTTCAGAACAGTTTTGTTCATAAATGTCTTAAAGAAGGGGGCCAATCACTCATCTGCTATTTTTATATATGCTGTTAAAGTAAACGAGTCTGACTCAACTCAAGCTCAAGTAAAGTTCGTTTGGTTAACAAACGAGCTCGACTCGGCTCGATAAGAGAGTTTGTATATAGTTTTCCATAATTCGGCTCACTAAAATTCGAGATCGACACGAAATTCACCCGTCATGAGTATTAAACGAGTAAAGCTCGAGCTCGTCTCTGCTCTGCTCGTTAAATTTAACCCTACTTTTCATTAATCTTAATTGTAATATATTTTTTTTTTTTAAAAAAAAAATAGGAGTTTTGGCATTTGACACGTCATACCTATATATTATTATTATCCTCGAAAATGTATTTAGGATTGTAGATTTGACAGGTACTTGGGTAACCACAAAACATGTCAGCATCCTTTGGGCCCCACAAAACTCTCCTTTTCAGATACGTTTTCACCTCTCAACGCCATATCCCAATCACAGTTATCTTCTCTTTTTTCACACCTCCACTGCCACCCACCACCCACCACATACCACCACAACCTTTTGTTTTTTTCACTATCGTAACTTTCACTAAAGCCAATCCCCAATAATAAAGTGCCACAAAAAGGAAAAATGCGTTCCCCCGCCGCCCCTCCGCCTCCCCCCGCCGCGGTCCTCGGCGACGCCGCCCAATGCCTGGACCGGCTCCTACCCGCCGCGGCCTCCGTCACCTGCTTCGCCTCCAGGTGGCAGACCATCCGCTCCCGGCTCGCCGCCGTCCGCTCCCTCCTCTTTGATATCGCCGACT